ATCACTTACTGACTTTAACTTGTTCTAAGAGACGACATGCTCAATTCCCTTTATCGTAGTTGTCGTTAGCTGTAACACAAGAACCGTCTTACCCTTCAGCCAGATCACTCAACATGCACTGCATGTAGATTGTAAATCTGACATTGACGAGGGTAGAATATTCCTGATGTGTTCCTTTTCTATTGATCCTGTCTTTTCCGTGCTCTGTAGAACCTCTGTCGGTCTGACACGAACCTCACCATCTCTCGGAGATAACTGTGTTCTGACCCTCGGCCGCAATGTAACATGTCAATGCAATAAATTTTCTAAATTTCTTTCACAAAAGGAATTATGGTTTATTTAAACTCTGCCTTGTTTCACTGCTAATTGCGTACTATATAGGAATAAACTATCGATCAATCATCTAATAAAAGCTTTCACGCAAGTCAGGAAATGGATCTGCGACGTTTGTCACTTACTGAATTTAGCCTTTTTCTAAGAGACACAACCGTCTTACCCTTCAGCCAGATCACTCAACATGCACTGCATGTAGACCGTAGATCTCGCATTTAGGATGGCAGAACATCCCTGATGTGTTCCTCTTCTATTGATTACGCCTTTCCGTGCTCTGTAGAACCTCTGTCAGTCTGACATGAACAATCCCATCTCTCGGAGATAATTGTGTTCTGACCCTCGGCCGCAGACCTGATTGATCAGCTGATGTGTTGCTGATGTGATTGAGCTGCTATGGGATATGTTTGATCAATGTACTTACAATCACTCTGCCTGGAGGTAAACATTACTTCCTATATCAATTGTGCCATTAGTTAATCAACTTTACCATTAACAGTAATTTACCTCGTGATTTAATGCGCTGGACACACTGGGCGAGATGATCAAGATCCCCGCCCAAACCACATGAGTGACTTTAATGCCGAATTCATTTCGATTATGATCTTTTGTTGGCATCACACCCGTTGTAAGTCTAGACAAATACAGTTTGTAGTAGTTGAACTTGACTACTCCATATGTGCATCAATGGACACACAGATACGTTATGAAAATAGACGTTAAGACGATGTGTAGCACTCCACTTAATTCCACTTTGATTTAAGGCTCTATAAATTCGTATGACTGATTCAAGGTTGAGCATCTCAGATTTCGTCATTGCTTATTTATTGTTCTTTTATATATTAAATAATAACTGTGTCGTGCAATACCACAAAGTCATTGTTAAATTTCCGACATTACACGAAAAACTGCTACCTTGTCACGCTCGACACGAAAAGATATTCCATTTCACACACGGTACGAATGCTTATTCCTGTTTCAAACAACATTGTTCTCATTTCATAAAAGACAATCTACAACCATTGTGTGGATGAGGCACTTGTCATCTCAGACAATTAACGAATTACATCGTTGTCTTTCAGCTCGATACACCTATATTGTTGCCATTCCGAACAATATAGTTATGACATGTTTTTCAGTTTTTGTGCACTTGGTAGATCTGTCTGTTGCACGGGAAATACCCTACTAGTAACTCTATCGTCATTGCACCTTCTGTCAGTTAAGGGGGCGGTGGGGTTGCCTAGTGGTTAAAGCGTTGACTTGTCACGTTGAAGACCCGGGTTCGAATCCCCACATGGGTAAAATGTGTGAAGCCCATTTCTGGTGTCCCCCGCCGTGATGTTGCTGAAATATTGCTAAAAGCGGCGTAAAAAACAAAACTCAGTCAGGCAGTCAGGCAGTCTGTCAGTTAAGCTGCTCCCATTCAACACTATATACTTATTATATCGTTACCTTCCACACAATCCATTGTCTTACATTTCATCACCAAACGCATCTAGTGGACACATAACTGCCCCATTCTTTAGCAACTGATAGTTACATTTGGTTGATGAAGGTGGTGGTACTCACCTGAAGCTGAGATTACAAAATATATACACACCCCTCGTTTTGCACAATATTTCTTACTTATCACTCTGGTCTGACAATCTGTCGAAATGCAACGTTAGAATAGGTTAAAAAGAACACTTTCCACAAAATCAAAATGATGCCTCGACGAAAGAGTTACAATTTTCAGGATCACCAGAGAGCGTTTTTTTATCGATGTTTGTTCTGCAACTACATTGGTACTTCACAAAGACATCATAACCCTGACAAACCCCAAACGAGTTAACTTCAAAAAGTTGGAATTTGCTCCTTCTTGCGCCAATGATCTGTTAAAAGCTACGGTGGCATTCCCAGATCACGCCATCAGTACAGGTCTACTCAAGGTGTCCTGCATGTAGGTTTCTATTTTACCAATATATGGTTGGTTTAATAAGTATAAGAACGTTTTGTTGAGGGCAATATCGAGGAACCATTTCACGAGTGAGTGTCTGTGTCTCAGCAATAATCCATCTGTATCACGGCAACGAGTATATAATCGAGTCCGGAACAGAGACATTTCATTAAAACCAGAACGTATTGTACGATTTGCCTGATTTCAGTTCTGTTTATAAGTGGCTTAACCGACAGATGCAATTACACAGGAAGTAGACATTCGCCAACCAGAGGGCCATTTTCGAGAGAAACAGTTTTATGACACTTGTGTCAGTATGGTGATCGTTTCAGGCCGAGCATAGGAACATAATTTGACAAAGATTTTCGGTCGAACATTTTAAAACCGAAGAATAGTTCTACTGTAAAACCCATAACAACAAACAGCTTTACCTGAAAACCTGAAATAATTATAATCATAGAAAATTGCGTTACACACTTTAACTGTTATTATTTCAAATTATTGCCTCAATATGTGTACGACCGTTTTGTCCACAAATGTGCTACAAGAAAAGAAAAAGTGCACATTTATCTAATCAATATGGAGTATGGTATACAGAAAATAACCTAATGTGCCATATTCTTGCTGTCTAACTGACTTGGTTATATCACCGTAAGAAACGTTTCATCTTAAAGACAGTTAATTGTTCTGACGGTATATCTCACCGCGACTATAGCCATTGGCTTCGAATCCCAGGTTAGCCCTGATCAGCAAGCAACACAGGTGACAACAACGTAGTAAACATCTGAGGCATGCATCTCTTTAGGTTAGATAAATGGGCGCAAGATGAAAAGTGTTTTTACCTCTGAACAAGCAGGATTTCGTAAAGAGTTCCGAACAACTGATAATATTTTTATACTTGAATCTAATATAACTAAGTACCTATCTCTGCATTATTGTGTCTTTGTTGATTTGAAATCCGCTTTTGATTCAGTTGTATGAAAGGGATTGTTTTATAAACTATGGTTAGTTAATATCAAAGGCAAATTGCTTCGTTTACTTCATAATTATGTATGCAAATGTGAAAGCTTGTATTTCTTTAGAAGATGGTAATACCGTCTTTTTCGAGTGCCTGTTTAGTGTTAGACAAGGATGTAAGTTGTCACCATTTCTATTTTCTTTCTTTATTCATGATAATCAACTTTTCAATTTACTTCTTGCTTACGATATTGCTATGCTTGACAGTACAGTTGGAGGTTTACAGAAAAGATTTGATAAATTAACAAGCTATTGTGACATATGGCAATTAAAGGTTAACATCGACAAGACTGAAGTGATGTTTTGTTAGGAAAGGCGGTAGACTTAAAAAATATGAACGCTTCACACTAAATGGTAGCTCTATTGATATAGTTTCATCCTATAAGTATCTTGGAGTCCACTTCTCTTCTTCTGGATCATGGTATATCACACAGAAGACATTGTCAGAGCAGGCTATGAAGGCTTTGTCGATGCTAAGGTCTAGAATCCCAAACTTAATGAATCTTTCATCTCGGGTTTTGATGGATATTTGTTTTGGTCAAGATTATGCCAATCCTATTATATGGTAGTGAAGTTTTCACCCATCACCCAATGTAATTCGAGTTCATGACAAGTTTTTAAAGGACATTTTACACCTGGGTAGGACTGTACCAAATATTGTGGCTAGAGGCCAACTTGGATGTTGTTCTGTAAAGGTGAATCAGCATGTCAAGATAATCCGTTACTGGCTTAGATTAGTATACCAACAGGATAGTGCTATCTAAAAACATATCTATTTTTATTAAAGCTGGCAGAAAATGGAATGAATTGTTGGGCTCTCAAGGTAAACAAAATATTATTCAGTTGTACATGTAAAATGGGCCGGTGGCCTTATTTACTTCTGAATAAACAACTCACCCAGCAACCAATACAGGCGTGAAGAAACATAGTAAACATCTTAGACATCTTACATCAGTTTTCCTGTGGTGCCAGTGATGACACATCTGATGCACCGTATGCTTGATGTGGAACAGCTTCGAAACGAGAACGTACAGCTAGACACCCATATATATGGAATAGATGGTATTTGCAGGTGGATGTTTCAGCTTGTTAACTAGGTATGGCATTTTTTGTCCAAATGCCATGTACCTGAATATTGATGATTGCATAAAAGGGTTGCACGGCCTTGGTGCTGTATAATGTAGCCGTGGCGCAGCTGAGACAACGTTGTAGGAATTAGTGCTCAATGTAGATACCTGCCTCACAAAATGTCACACAAAATTGTGGCATGGGTACCTATCGCAGAGACAGTATCCACCGATCTGTCTATCTTTTGAATTACCCCCTTAAAGGCAAACGCCACGCATACGTAAATCAGGGACTGGAACCACTAGTCCCCTACACCAAGAATGGGCTTCACACATTGTACCTGTGTCTTTGGGTCCGGCATGATCAAGCGAACAGATTTAGCACCAGGCTACCACATTACGTTTTGAATTGTTTATAAAGACACAACCTATCCGCTGAATCTAAGAAAGCTGGTATTTTCACAGCGATACACTTATTCACACAAAGATGACCAAAGGGTTTAAACATACAGATACTGATATCGGTTTGACTCAATTTAATAAAAATGCATATTCTGGTACTGTGTAATAAACTGATAAAACGATGTTTTGTCACAAGACTTCTCGTTATACTTAATATATGTTTTGTTTCAAAAATATTTGGTTGTAAATAAAAGCGACACAACCCTTTCCACATTCATAAAAATATCTCTGGTAAAAGCAGAGTCGTTCGTACAATTGTGACGAAATCATGAGCATATATTCGTTTCAGCAATCTTACAGCTGTACGATGTTGTTTGTAAACAAATGTCTGGACGCTACAATCAAGAAAAACAAACAAGAAACAAACGGGATTGGGCACAAGTGCTCGATATATTTTCATCTTCTTCCTAAAAGGTTGTATTTCATAACTGTGTTTGTTTATATATTTCAAAGGAGTAAATCAGCGAGTGAACAATTGTGACTGACGGTTGCTACAGTTGAGAGGACAAGCGTAACTATGTTGGACACTATTTAATCTGTAGAATCACAGTGACAAATACCATGCGTTATAGAAGGTAAAGAGTAAAATGGTGTAGCAGTTGTAACAGTTGTTGATTCAGGACATGTAGCCCACGAAAGTATCTACACATCCGTGTCTACAATGAGTGAGTGAGTTAAGATTTTATGTCACATCGGCAATATTTCAGCCATATCGTGACTAAAACAAATTATAGATTAATAATGACTAAAAATGAAGTATAAACACCTGTCAACGAAGGACAGTGAGACAACTAGCGTTTCACAGATATAAATATAAAACTAGTGACTAAATCTAAAACAGTTTAACTGTAGAGGACGGTACAATATAAGAACAGGTTATTGGTCGCCAACAACTGAAGGTAGATCACCATACGAGGGACCATGGGGACTTACAGTACATTTGCTACCTGCATGGACCCGTGTCTATGTACAGTGTGAACCAACAGTCACTCTGTAATATTGTCTGTGTCTACAGTTAGCCTCAGTTAGACTGCTTGATGATTGTGAGCTGCAGTTCTCCATTTAAAGTGTCAAGAAAGTTTCATACATTGTACTACCAATGGTTCTAAGCTATCAAAATGACATCGTCACCAGTAGGTCGTTTGAACACCAATTCAGTTTGTCACCACAATTTACCAGAATCGTCGGGTAAATTCGAGGGGTGCTGAAATGTTCTGTGCCCAACACTAACAGACTACATTGATTGAGTATTGTGCTGATTAGTTTTCAACATAGTACCATTCTATGTCAATACACTACTGTCAACGATGACAACGCGTCCGCTACCAGTGGTGTGTAAGGCTTCTTCCCGGTGGTGAACACGTCATAATTAGAAATGACATCATCAGTATTGGCATAATAATTGCCAGACAGAATGGTAAAAAGTGGAATCTGGCGGAGAGAAACCTGATGATATTCAAAGAGTTTAGCCTTGGTGTTTTCACACAGATAGGAGTATAAGTGGTCATTAATTGTCTGATATTTTTCGATGCAGAATGCCACTGGCATTTCTTCGGAATCACAGAAAACCGGACACTGACAGTTGAAGATGTTCCTGGTCTTGTATCATCTACGATGCTCCCTCTTTCCCTCCTCAACCCCGCTGCTCACAACTAGACAGTGTCAAATAAAGGAGCATCGTTCTCTTGAGATTCAGTTTCCGATGCAATCAGTTACCGAATCCAAGGACGATACTTGATGACAGCGTGGTAAAAGAGTATTCTCTGCTATCAACAACAGTGTCGATTTGATATTTGCACTTGATGTTATGATGTGCATTTGGTTTAAATGTAGAATGTAAGTATGGAAAGTCTCGCATTTAATTCACGCGAACAAATAAACATATACCACAAATGCCCGGTCATCCTCCGTGGTGGGTGTTGTTCTTTTACGGAATATTGACTGATTCCAAACATCTGACATCACAACCATGACACACCCAGGGCTAAATATTTACTGTGCATTAAATGGTGTAGGATAGAAAGAAAATATACGTTGGTTGATACACATAATTAAAGTACTGTGATTTCGTCTGTCACTGGCATTTAGAAGCTGTTGTGACGAAGAGGAACACATTTTATGAAACTTGCTTGATAACGGTGTTAGCATCTACACCGAAACGGCGCACGTTTTGCAATCAGAATTTGCCTGTCCATAAAATTTGTTCATCTGCTGTGATGTCGTTAGGTACTGTTAGATTTATTTTCCAAGTAATATTTTTAGTGAGTAATGTGTTACCTGAATGCAATGCCGAAGAGTGATTATTTCGAATACAATGCATACGTACTTCCTTCTGCCACTTACAACACAGGGCATTACGAGACGGATGGGATGTTTCACCAGAACAGTACAATTCACAGTCTCTGATTACACAGTGGTTTACATTGGAAAATGCAGAGGATGTGCCATTGAAGTAAGATAATGAATGTCAATACAATTTTTTTAAACGCAATTAGAAGTGACACACATAACGGATAAATTAAAAGAACGCAATTTTTTTGAATATATTGCCACTCCACACCCCGATGATTTATCCAGTCACTGAATTACATATTTAAATATTTACTTATAAATAGGCTTACACCTTCTGTTAACAATAAAATTACAATATAAAAATCCATAGAGCCATATACAGGTAATACAGTACAAATGAACTTCATGACTTTCTAACAGATACACATTTTAATAACAATACAAACGACATTTATAAACATGAATATATGCATATATTTGAGAGGTAGGAATATTTGGTATAAATAGATGGGAGTTCCGGCAATACGTAATACGGCTACATTAATATTGAAGAAAAAATAACTTCCTGAAAGGTCACATTTATCATGATTTCGTCAACCTCTTTGAAGCGACTATGTTCTTGACATCCTGATTCAACGTGTCAACGATGTGAGGTTACGACGTCGAAACTGACCTTGAGAGTATATTTTAAGATTATCATAAAAACAATGATGATAATATATGTTAAGCATCCTCTAGTTGTTGAAAGGGTAGTTAGAAATCTTTGAGTAATGACGTGAAGTGGATTCTTTGAGTTGAGGTTGTCAAAGAACATTGTCACGATCTTGTTTTAAACGTGATGTTTTGAAGAGGTTATTTTTCAGATGTCATCAGCTTACTTCTTGTCTTCAGGGAATATTTCGTGAATCATTTTTCACTTAGATATTCATTTCCGCTCTTCAGCTTCCATGCAGGTATTTATAAAAGAAATGGTCAATGCACATGTTCTGCACATGCAACTGGCATCAAACCCCATACTTCGAGGGCATACATAAGATACAAAATATGATTTCCGATGTCCAAAACAAATGTGTGTGCCCCTTCATTTCCGTCAATAGCACACCCTTCAAAGGATCTATGTTATTTGTCATTTTACAACAACTGAAGCTATACTAATTGTAGCAGCAGTTGTGATGTATTGTGTTATTGTCTTGTGCAACCGTAACCGTTCTTGGTAGGGGTGGTCGTTGTTTTCTTGGTGCGGTAGGGTAGCCTGGTGATTAAAGCGTTCGCTTATCCCGACGAAGACTCAGGTTCGATTCCCCACATGGGCACAGTGTGTGAGTATTGTACTGTAAAATTTTATACCAATCCTACATGTTCACATTAACACCAAATTAAACCTCATACATTTGGCAGTATATATTTAGTTTCACCCAGCTTGTCCATCTTCTATTTCAGTGTTCGCAAGGAAATATATCTTAGACACTTTGGGTAGTTCACATCTGTTATTGTTTGCTATGCAATATATTATGGAAATCGTATGGCAGCAGTCGTCCTGTGTCTGTGTATTCAAACAAATGAAAGTTAATCAGTCTGTTATCAATCAGAAAGCATGAGTATCAAATGCCATTCAGGAAAACTTGTACCACATGAATTCTTAATGTACAAAGGTCACAACTTGTGCTCAATAAGGAAATATATCTAAGGACTTTTGGGTAGTGAGTGAGTGAGTGAGTGAGTTAATATTTAACGTCACATCGGCAATATTTCAGCCATATCGTGACGAGAACATATGTGACACTGAAATGGAAGATATGTATATTACAAAAAACCTGCCGTCGAAGGACAGTAAAAGAACTAGAATATCACAATTACAACTAAAACTAGTGTGGAAAGTTAAAACTGATAGCACTATTTAGACAATACAATATAAAAACTGGCTATAGATCGCCAACAACTGAAGGTAGATCATCATACTAGGAACCATGGGGACTTACATTACTTTTGCTACCTGCATGGACCCTAGCTGGATTTACACCATCCCTTCAGCTGTTGGAGATTGTAGGAAAATTTAGCCACAAATTAAAATGACAAGAATACTACGTTTAAAAGCACAGGACGTGAAAATTTTACTTTGAAAGTTTTTGGGACTTACGTACCCTCTCAGGAGGACAATAATTTTACGCTACCTTAACCCCCTTTGAGGATACAGCCACTAACAATCTAAGTTGATAATCTACACTACCAATCATTAAAACACATCTATCTACAGAACATATTTATCAAAATTCATTAATTAAATCAATTTATTTTAAAAAGCAAGAATTAAATGAAGATGAACAGTATTAAAAAGATCCTTAACAGTTTTAACATTGAAATAGTTATCCCTTATGAAGGAGAATTCAACACAGTCAAGCAGGAACGTTTGGGTAGTACACCAACGGCACTAATAACTTGTCATCAGTTAATGATAATGTAATACATTATGTATATCGTATGGGAGTAGTGGTACTCTGTCCGTGTATTCAAACATATGAACGTTAATTAGTCTGTAACCAATCACGTTAGGGATTGCACTAGCGAAAGAGCTTACTTCATGTTTGTTTTTTGAAAAGTGCGCTTAGCTTCTTTTGATTATGCAAATATGGTCAACTGTTCCGGGGGAATAGCTTCAAAGAGCATCACCCCCGAAACAGTTCATTCCCTAGTATGTCCAGTGGTGACGTAAACGTCACGGCCGATCTAGTCCTCTCTAGAGTTTAAGTCTTAAGATATATTAACACCATTGAAGATATCACGAAGAAACAGAAGCAGAGTCGGGGTTGTGTGTGTGAGAGACGAGATTTTCATTGGAATTAAGTGTTTTAAAGAACCAGTATGAAAGCATTCGTATCCATTTCGATCTAGAATTCCGAATGTACAATCTGTAATTGTTGCAACTTCAGTTTGATTAGTAGTTACAAACAAGACATAGACAAGACACAATGAATGAACACAGTGAACGTTTCCAATATTCGCTCTCGCACCGACAAGATTTGCAATCGTTTGGATCAATAGACGATAAACAGACTGTCACAATAGCAATACTGACTCGCTTATTTTACTTTCAAATTACCTCATTTGATTCATGCTCTTTAAAACATGAATTATGTAAAAAGGGGTGATAGTGGCATCTGCTTCGAAACAATGTATTATGCATTATACTATAATTGTTACAAATACCTTTCTAAAGACGTTTTAACTACAGGAGAATCATTCAAATTACAAAACTCAATTATACGTTCATGTCAGAGTAATATTCATATATTCTGCACTGGGAGAAGCAATGTGTCTTAAATAACAATATTATTTTTCTGCAGTTTATTTTATAAGCATTTAATGTCGGTTCGATTCAGTTGATTAGCAGTCATGGCGCCTGTTGGGAATAGAAAAGCCAAGAGTAATTATTGCTTTGCACACGTGACTGAAGAATTATTGTAAGTTTATGTGATCAATATTGCAAGCACAGGAGCAATATAGAATGATTTGTATACACAGTTAACTGCATGGCTGACTGTGGACACAGGGAAACAATATGGCGAAATACAGCAGTTATCTGGGACTGAGGAGGTGGGAGGAACTGGGGGGAAGTGACTAATTCGTGTATCAATTACGTATGATTAAGCAAAAGCACTGCGTAAACTAAGGAATCATTATTCAATAATCACACGATCAAATGTATCTGGATTCTAGCCCACAAATAACACAGCTTTGCTCATAATGCTGGGTCACACAATGAATTGAGTGCTTTATTGAATTGTTCACTAGCGGATGATGTGGACAGTGAGGGCAATACCCTCCTCCGTGACTACTGTTGGTGATTTGAAGACTGCCTCGTGACAGATTGCAGGTATTCAGCTTTCAGGAATAACAACACTGCCTCAGAATATAGACATGAGCATAACGAAGAAAGGTATTAGCAACACATTATTCTCTTTGGTGTGTTCAATAATAATGATTAAATGTCCAGTTGTGCCAACTCTGACAGAAAATGCCCCTCTGGATTTGTACATACATTCGGTGTAAGCTGCTCTCGTCTCAAGAGAATGAGATCTCGTTAACTCCTGCTCATTACTGCTTCCAAGGATACGATGAGTCTTGTCTGATGACAGAGTGCCACGGCAAACTGAATGTATCTTGTTGCTGCCTTGCTATATTCTTGGCAAGATCTCACACAAGCATCTCACACTCCTGAGAACACACGCATATGTGGATCACAACTACATCTTCAGTATGTTAACTGTCTGTAATGTATGCTTTTAAAACTGACATATTTAAAAAAAAAGGTCAATATGAGACTGGCATTACGTATTTGCCAAATATATTTCGCAAAATATATTTCAAAACATGATATGTCAAGCTTCAACACAATTTGTCTTTGGGTGTGCCTATACATTTTATACATCAGAACTGCAAGTACCATTGTGTTAATAAG